ACGCTCCTCCGCAATGCGTAAGATGCGTCAAAAGTGGACCAATAACAAGCAAGCATTAAAGATGGACGTTTGACAGAACAAATTGGAACATTTTTCATTGGTGCTGTCAAAATCATCATAGTCATTGATTAAATTCTGACACTATCAATTCACAAAAACATAAAACATCCTTCGGGGCCCCCGAAATGCCGGGGCCCCGGGCTGCAGCCCCGGTAAGCCCCTGCTAAAATCCGGCCCAGGCGTTGAGAGACCAGCTGACCAGATCCATAATTTACAATTTGGAGGATATGTAGTGAGAGGCTTTGATAGGAATCACAAGACAAAGAGCAAAGCAGGAGGGAGGCAGGAGCAGGAGGGAAAAGCATCTGTTCTTGTCAAAAGCAAGCAAAAAAATGTATTTACTTGTTTTTTGTCACTTCTACTCTTTTTATTTGTTCTGTTCAAAACCTGGATGAATAACATCAAACAAAAACAAGTAAATAATTAGTCTTAAAACAAAGGAAAACAGCAGTTCATTGTTTTTATCCATCTGGTTAGGGTTAGAAGAAAAGAATGTTTGAGTTTATTAAGATCAGAGAGTCAGAGATTCTTTATTGTCATTCGCACCTCATGTGGTACATGTGGTGGAGCGAAATTATGTACACAGGGTCCCAGTCACATCCAACAATAAAATGTATAAGAAAAACAGTAATAACATCTAAGATATGAACTAAGAAAAACATCAGCTAAATATACACTATAAGCACTCATAACATAAAACATTAAACATCAGCACAAACATGAACATGAGTCTGTGTGAGCGGATGTGCACGCATGAACACATCAACATGATGATTGGTTTTGTGTGAGGATTTTATCAGAGCCCTATAAAGAGAGAGTTGCGACACTCCCATAGACTCCCATAGAAAGAATGGAATGCGCAAGTCATGTGGGTCATGCAGAGGCAAATAGTTCCAAACAGCAGCGGTTCCAGCATTGAACGTAGTTCATTCTCCGTGTATTCTCCGGTAAGTTGAATAAAATACAACACTTTCTTTGCCATTTTGAAGCGTTATCTGACTGTTCTGTACCACAATTTATCAACATTAATACTTCATGTCGCCAGTTTTAGTTAATGAAACATGTTCAATTGCTAGTTGTGTTTTAACTGCAGCTGCTCTGCAACATGACGGTTTAAACGGGTCTATTTTTGTCTAATTCAGCGTTTTAAAATATCCATTACTGCTTAAATTTTGAAAGGTGGTCTTTTTTTTAATTTATGGTAATTCCAGTTACTGAACTCAACTAGAAAATATTTGGCCTTTTATTCCGAGAGATTCATTCACCTTTATTTCGACGGTAAATCCCATTGAGCCTCGTGGACTCATTTACAAGAGAGACCTGATTTCAACAAAGAATGATGACAACATAACAACAAGATTGACGTGATTTAGTTCAAGTTATAGATCATTTGTCAAAGACTGCAGCATAAATTGTGACATTATCATTAAAGAAAAATGTGATTGTGGACATGAGTCAATTTTTTTCATGTTTTCCAGGTAAACCACAGGAGAATGACTTCATGAACTGAATGTTGCATTCAAAATATCACAAAGGTACAAGATCTCATTTTCTGTCTTCCCAAATCAATAACAGCTTAATCAAGATGTTTGAATAAAATTACTTTAACACCATAACCTTCACAAAGTTGGTATTTACTGCAGGACTGTTGATTTACAGTTGTTTTATATTACTAGTTTAGCGTATGGTAATCATGGGTCAAGTTGAGATGAGACTCTCTTTCAAGACAGAAAAAGACATAAGAATTATTACCAAGAATATATCAGCATCAATAAACTGTAGAACAGTAACAAAAAAACTTGTTAAACTATCACAGGTTCATTGAGATGGAGCTGGAAGTTATTCTTCATGCCAGTTGCCTTCATCTGATTTTTTGTAAAAATATGTCAGAATTTATTTTCCATTGTTAACATTTTTCTTCGCAGGACTGCATTAATTTTCTTGTCTGAGTTTCTTCTGTCCTTCTTATGTATTTTTTTGTGTTCTAATTGTTCCTCAGGTTGTTCATCTCTGTTCTCTGGCTGCCTGTTGATCCATCCTCCTGGTCCTGTTGATTCATCCTCCTGGTCCTGTTGATTCATCCTCCTAGTCCTGTTGATCCTGGATCATCAGATCCTGACATGTCCCCGTCCTCTGAGGACACATTTTCATCTTTCCCTCATCTCACTCGCCTCATTTCTGTTTCTTCCTCCCTCAGTCTCTGAAATTACAACGTCACTGTTAGAATGAAGATTATTGTTCAATAAAAAATATGACATGTCTTATTTAACACTGTTTGTACTAAAGTTTAATTTAGAACAACATGTGTGATCACTGGTCAGATCACTGGTCAATGGATCAACATGCAGTGGAAGTTCTGCTGTTCCTCTCGTTTGGTTCTGGTCCATGAACAAATGGTTGAACCTCCTTCTGTCTCACACGTCCTCACTGTGTCTCTGTGAACTGTCCTCTCTCTAAATGTGCCTGTAGAGTGACATTAGTTTATTTTCTTGCACATTTCTTTGACAGTTAAACATCTTGAGCCCTGATTGAAAATGTTTGTGCAGATTAAATTTACAGCTCTCAGTTTGTGTTGTGATGATGATGATGGTGCTCCTGCTGACTTGAGATGATGTTATTAATAAACAGTATAAATGGCAGTAAAAGTACTTTATTAAAGCTTGTTTTACATTTTACATCTTTTATAATAAATTGTTTTGGAAATTTATTTTTGCACAATTAACACTTATTTTGTCATCTGTTATGATTTTAACTAGAAACAGTTTCATTTAAATTAACATTTTAATCAATGAATTACAGTTTTACAATAGTTGTCAGGCTACAATCAACTCAGTTATCCAGGTACTTGGTTGCCATAAAAAATCGACAAATACAACAATTATATTCAGGTCTCTCTTGTAAATGAGTCCTCGTGGCTCAATGTGACGAACCTGTTTAAATAAAGGTTGAATTAATATCTTCTATAGAAATCAAGAATTCATCCAGATGATCTAAGGTAAGCTGGAGCAGATCTGAACTACTGGCATGGAGGACAAGGTGGAACATTCTCATGCAGAGAACATCAGAAACAGCTTTATAACAGGTGTTACTCTGATCTTTTTTTTTATCGTGTGTAACGTTATAAAACACTGATATGGCTATATTGATCATTGTATTGCATATACATTTTTTTTCTAACAAATATGTGTTTGCAGTCTCGTTTCCTTCTAAAATTAAATGATAAATGTATCAGCCGCTTCTAAAAACGCTTTGATAAAATGCATAGTCTGAAATAATCAGTAATCAGTTAAGTCATCAGTTTGTTACTGCTCAGTAATTACTGAAAGACGCCAGGTAAAGTAAGAAAAGTCTATTTATGTGTTATGTTGCGCCAGCAACCGCTCAAACTGACTGACAGCGATGAACTGTTTGGAACTATTGGGAGCTGCATGAACCACGTGAACGCGTATCGGCAAGTTCAAAGAGTGTCGCAACTCTCTCTTTATAGGGCTCTGGATTTTATCCACAGCTGTCTCACTGAACAACAGTTTTTGTTCCTATTATTACACATAAAAACTCTCAGACGCTGATGCTAGTAAGTACTAGGAAATGTTGAAAAAAAACAACCCAGTGTTTCCTGGTCACTATCAGACAACGTTTGGGCTGCTTTTATACAAGATTTGTATAATTGTACTGAACAGATTATTTGTCTGCATTTTTCAAAACAAAACACATATTCTTCTAAAGGAAAACAAATATACACAGATGTTTTTTTTTTTTTTTTGTTCTTCAGAAGCAGTAGGAACTTGATCACACAGTTTAATATCGATGCAAATAAGCCAGAGAAACATTTGCTCATTTCACATTTATTTTCTTCTTTAATAATCCATGACTTTTAACGGGATTCCCTTCAGCTCCAACCCCACAAACAGACAATTAGCTCTGTGTTTTATGCTATTTTGTAGCATCAACCAAAACACAACCCAATATGTAATTAGAAATGGTAATTGTTTCAAAGCAAAATTTCTCATTTGCTTCTTGCTGTAGCTTTTTGTGGATACACTCCTTTTGTCCTACATTATTATTATTATTGTGTGAATGATAGTTTTCCTGCTTGTAGTTTGTTCTACAACACCTACATATTTCATCATCCAGCAGCTTCTGTAACCAACCAGGTGTCAAATCCTCAGCTCATTCAGGAGACGAGTTTTATGACTATTGGTATTTGTAACTTTTATACTTTTTGAAATATTCAATTTAATCTAAAGTTTCTGTTTTATATAGATCATGTTAGGTTTTAGCTACTAATTTGCTTATTTATCTTGAAGTTACTGTTTGGCTTAGTTTAACTTTTAGTATTTTTCTGGGTTAAAGTTTAAATGCAATTTATCCAACTTTGGCCTCTCTTGCTCAACTTAGCTCTTAAATTACTTTTAGGTTATTCTTATTTCCAAGCTAATGTACTAGTTTTATGTTTTAGTCACTGGTTTTTGCTCTGTTAAGCTTGTAACTATTGTTTTTAAATACAGTATCGTTTTACTGCTTTAGCTGTTGTCTCTGGTCTTTCTACTTTTAGCATTTTGTTACGGTTTGGCTCATTTTAGCTTTCAGCCACTTTTTTTTTCCTTCTAATTTTATCTCCAGTTCTACTGGTTTTAACTTTGACTAAATTGTCATAGTGATAGTGATAAATTTTGTTGAATAAGCTAAAACTAAACTCTTTTAGCTTATTCAACACTTATCAGTCACACAGCATTTTCACAAAAAATGCAAATGTAGCCCATTGCACTAAATTTTCTAGTCATGTAAGTGCAGCTGTTTTTAAACAAAACAAAATAAAATATGGATTATTGCTGCTTAAAGGTCTTTTCCAGAGAACACCAACTTATCTCCTTAGAGGTCATAAGTTATATTAGTTTTAAGTGTGTGTGTTTTTTGTCTCCTTTTCTCCTAAACTACAGCCCTCTCCGCTCATTACCGAGTGTGTGAACCGTACACTGACCACAAAGGCCGATACCACTTTGGATTTCACTGCCCGCGTCTCTCTGACAATAAGACCTACATGTTCTGCTGTCACCACAACAACACGTACTTCAAGTACTGCTGCAACGACACAGAGTTCCAGACCATCATGCAAGTCAATCTCACCACCACCCCGGATGGTTATGCTCACAAGTGAGTAAATAAACAAAGAAGGGGACATTTTCACCAACAATGACCACTTTACATGCTGTTTTTATATAGAACAAATATGTGGTATGTGTCAATTATTTGTAATAAATGAATAAATAAATAAATTAGATTTTCAATACTTTTAAATTTTACATAAAAAAATGTTAAACAGTTTTATTTTAAGAGGAAAAACAGGGAATCCCCATCTCAATGGATAGCGGAGGTTTTATTTTGTAGCAGCTCTGCTCATTTTAGATTTTAATATGTTATCATTGTTTCACCAGTTTGTTTCACTAGTGTTATCCTGTTACTGACTTTTTATCAATATATTCTTATGGGTTCAGCATACAGAGTAAAGCGCACCCCACCAAACGTTCAGGTAAATCTTTTCCCTACTTGCTTTCTTGAGTAATGTTATGGGCAGTGTTTCCTCTCCCTTAAATTGGCTGGTTCCTCGATTGGCTCCTTTAGTAAACAATTTTTTAATGCATAACTGGCTGTTAGCAAAATATCTCATGAACAGCTGAAAGGATTTTAATCAAACTTTCTAAACTTAATCATTGGACGTATGACTACAAGTGAATAATTTTTGGAGGCAAGATGGCCTTCACAGCATTGACCTTAGCAAGCATAAAAGTAACTATAACTCTGTCAGTGGATCAGAACATACGTATGGACAGCAACAGCAAGAAGTTTAATGTCAGGCATGGGTTATGAGGACCCTGTCCTGGGACTACGCCTGGGGGAGGGACCCATTGACAAACACTTATATCCATGGGGCCTGGTTGAGCTAAGCCTAAATGAGTAAAGTGATTTTGCCTTCTTTTGGGCCAACCCCCTATAGGAGGGGCCATACAAATTGAGTACATATTGCTATGGGTGGTGGCCAAAGACAGGCACCTCAGTGCTCTCACTCTGGCTTACCAAAGCTGGCTCTTGAGACATGAAATATCACCTGGCTGGCAGGGAAGGAGCCTTAGCTTGTGCATGAGGTTGAGAGGTACCAACTAGATAGAGCTGGGCCCGCCTCAACACAAGTCATGAGCTCCAGAACCAATCTCTTTAAGAGGGGCTGGGCCTTATTTTAATCTGGAGTTGCCCGTGGTGAAAGGCTTCAGGCTGGTGTGTGTCTACTTATAGCTCCCTGCCCAGGTGCCTGTGTTGCGGTAGATGAGACATGTTCGACATGTTCGACATGTTCATGCTGCTTTTGTTTTGGCGCATTGCTTTTGAACTATTAGTGCTTAGTGTATTCTTAGTCTTGTGTATTCTTAATTTAGTGAATGTAATATATTGACTGGGATCTTACCAATGTTTTTCTTTACAATTTGCATTTGTGTTGGATGTAACTGGGACCCTGTGTACATAGTTTCATCCCACCTCATGTACCACATGTGGAGTGTATGACAAGTAAATCTCTCTGAATCTCTGAGAGCAGGGCTTAATTTGTAAACCAAGTGATGCCGGAACACAAATAGCAGGCGGGAGGGGGTCCGTGGGTCCTCCCCAGAAAATTTGGAATAAAAGAGATGCCATTTCCTGCATGTTGGTGTATTTTTAACAGGCTGTTAAACATCTGTAAACATTTGATTAAACTGATTAAAAACAGATCTCTCGTAAATGAGTCCTCGAAGCTCAATGAAACTAACAACCTGTATAAATAAAGGTTGAATTGAAATTACTATTTTAGAGAGCAATGAATTATAGCAGCTCCCATTCTGTCAAGCGTCCCAACCCCCCTTGCCCCCCACCCCCACACAAACTTCAATGGCCGACCCGAACTCGTCTCAGCTGAATTCAGTCCTGCGCTTTGCTCTACTCCAATCTCTATTATCACTGCTTTCAAGTGCTTCAATTCTCTGTTGTCCAGCTAAGGACAATCCATCCATCCATTTATTTTAGATAATAAATTGGACTGTCTTTTTGACATTTTGATCTCTGTTATTTTGACCAATTTTGAAATGTGCAATGTGAATTAAACATTAAACATTTCACTCGTATATTTTTCCCGTAAGTTTTTTATTTATTATCTTTGAAATGTATGCACGAGTTCTGACACATTGACAGTTGTGCACACTCCGCAGAGCTGTCTGGAGGTGCTCCTGTGTGTAAAACGTGCACTGTCTGCAGGGCGCACAGCTAGCAGGTGAAGATGACACCCCACCCACGTGAAAAATTCCAGTAAATGCAATGAGTGGTTAGTAGGAGTGGGCGATATGGCTCAAATATAATATTGTGATATTTCAGAGCATTTTGACGATAATGATAACTTCCGTGATATAAAAAAAATAAAAACAGAAATCATAGTTATTCATTTGACAAAATTAACTTAACATGTTGCTTTGCGGGCAGCATGGTGGCACAACTGGTAGAGCTGCTGCCTCTCAGCGAGCAGGTCCCTGTTTCAAATCCTGGTCCGGGGGCCTTTCTGGACGGAGTCTGCATATTCTGTCTGTGCATGTGTGGGTTTTCTCCGGGTACTCCGATTTCCTCCCACAGACCAAAAATATGCACATTAGGCTGATTGGTAACTCTAAATTGTCCCTAAGTGAGAGTAAGAGTGTGAATGGTTGTTTGTCTCGTTTGTCTCCATGTGGCCCTGTGATGGACTTGCGACCCGTCCAGGGTGCACCCCACCCCTTGCACAGTGATTGCTGGACATGGGCCCCATGACCCAAAATGGAAGAAGCGGGTAAAAGTTAATGAATGGATGGAGGAATGGATGTTGTGTTGCAGTATTATATAAAAACTAAAAAAAAAAAACAACCAAGGGTTAATTTTACTGAAATTATTTTATTTAGAAAAGGATTCAATCTCAAAGTATAAAAATAAAAATGATACTTCTGTTATTTAGATTGAAAAAGTCTGCACATAATATAGATCAACAAAATCCAACACAAAAACTAAAGTGCAAGTGCAGTTTCCCAAAATAACTGAATAAAATGAAGATTAGGATCTGTTGAGATATAACAAAATATAAATTGCCTTTAAATGAGCTATAACTTCCAAAACTTGTAACAAGGTGATCAGCTGATCCTGAAGCTAGTGACGTTTCAGCTTCCTAGCAGGAATGATTAATTTCTCTAATGCTCTGTCTTTGATCACCTACCTCTGTTCTTGGTCCATGGACTGTGGAACTCAAGAGACAGACCTGTGCGTGTTTGTACCGGCAGTTTAGAGCGGGGAAGCCAAGCTGTGCCCACACCGGCAGCCCAGAGCAGATTGGGGGGAGAGATAAAAGCCGAGTTGAGCTGGTGGGGGGTAGGGAGAGACAGTTGAGCTGTCACTGTCTGTACCTGCATTTTAGAGCTAGATGGGGAAACGCAGCTGAGCCACGCGTTGTTTGTTTTTAGTATTTAGCTAGCTAGTATTGTACGCAGCTAATTAATGTTACGCCAGTACCGAAAGATGGATGGGGGGTGCGCAGTTCAGTTCGGTAGTTTGGCATTCTCGGTTCTGTTAACGGGGCAGGGCAAACACTGATGTACTTAAGTCATGAAACTTTTATGGGCTTTTATGGGCGGAGATATGAGCTGCCAGATCCGAATGAACAGTTGCCTGAACCCACAAGGTGAAAATGAGGGAGTTCCCAAATCTTGTTCCGGCAGGATCCGGCTCAAATTAACCACTGTCTGAGAGGGTAGCTTTCCTAACCTTTAAGTGAGGAGAATGACTCTGACTATTTATTGTTTGTACCTATGCCCCATACAACATTTCATAGTATCCAGCTTTCTTGGATTCCTTAGCAGGAGTGCTAGAAGGTGCTCCAGCTGGGGACTTTCTTTATTCTGCTGTGGGACTTCAATGCCCATGTGTGTAATGACAGGTCCTGTCATTACACACCTGTAATGACACCTGGAGGAGTGTGATTGTGAGGAACGACCTTTCTGATCTGAATCTGTGCAGTGTTCCGTTGTTGGACTTCAGTGCTGATCATGATTTGGCCATCACAACCACCATGTTTGAACATAAGGGCATCCATAAAAGTACATGGCACCAGGACACTCTAAGTTGCAGATCAGTGCTTGACTTTGAAGTTTTGTCATTTGATCTGTGGCCATATGTTTTGGACACTTGAGTGAAGAGGAGTAGAGTTGGCAACTGATCACCACCTGGTGATGAATTGGATCAGATGACCAGGGTGGATGCTGAACAGATCCAGTAGACATATAGTGAGTGTTTGCTGTGAATGTCTGGCAAAGAACCCATCAGAAAGATCTTCAACTCACACCTCCAAAAGAACTATAACCACATCCCAGCAGAGGTGGAGATACTTGAGTTTGAGCGGACTATGTTCGACCCATTTATTTTTGAGGCAGCTGCCTTGAGCTGTAACTGTCAGCCCCTCTTGCAGCAGCCATCCTTGAACTCGGCGGTGGACACACCCCGAATTAGGGAGGCCATTAATATGAATAATTCCTATCAGGTCTTGTTGGCTGGGTGGACTCCGGAGGCAACTGAGGAGTATCGACAAGCCAAAGGGGCTGCATCCCTTGCTGTTGCTGAGACAAAAGCTTGGGTGTGGAAGGATTTCCATGGGGCCTTGGATAGAGAGTCTAAATCAGCTCCAAGGAGATTCTGGCAAACCCTCAGGTAGGTGAGGCTGAGAATGCTGCACTTTATCAACACTGCACAGTAGAGGTGGGGCGCTATTGACCTCAACCAATGATGTTGTTGTGCGGTGGAAGGAATACTTCTTGGCTGTTCTCAAGCCCACCATCACATCTTTCATGGAGGAAGCTAAAATGGGGTCTTGGGGGTTGGTTCGTCCATAACCGGGGCTGAGGTGGTTGAGGTAGTAGTTAAAAAGCTCAGCAACGGCAGGCAGGGCTTCGGGGGTGGATGTGATTCACCCTTAGTTCCTCAAATCCCTGGATGTTACTGGGAACCTTGGATTCAGGAGAAACAATGTGGGTTCCATACTGACCGGGGAACACTGGACCTGCTCTTTACCCTCACTAGACCCAGTGAGGGATCATGGGAGTTTGCCCATCCAGTCTACA